TTACTGGACAGTCCCTATGGAAAGCTGTTGCTAATAGCATGCAATAACAACCTGAAGGATATTTATTTCCAACCTGAAGCCAGTTCCCAAGCTGGGCTCCCGCTTTCACATGACCTTGGTCAGGGAGGTGGCCCTTTGTCCCTCTCCACAAAGCTGGATCAACAGGCTCAAGTGCAAATGATTTTCCAGTGACCCATCTACCCACACATGTGCTGCTAACCCCTTTTTCCCTTTGCAACAAGATGGCTCTCCAGCCACATGCTCATTTTCCTTAAAATACCACATCTGGCTTTCTGGCATTCCAAATCATCTAACCTAGTACAGTAATTTCAGTGTGTTCATCTGCACTCTGACTAATCTGCCTTTAGCAATACTGCCACTGCTAACTCACTCTGATGCCTGATGCCTGGACCACGGGCACATGTCTGCTCTCTGCTAATTCCAGAGCCAGATTTTCCAAGATGAGGCTGACCTGCAGCCAGGACCACCCTGCTCCAGAAGCAAGGCACCTCCCACAGGTGCACAGCTGTCTGAGTGCTGCAGTTACAAACCCAGGGCACTGGAGTGAACTGCTTCATGGACTACAAATCCACCCAAAATAGAATGAGACCAGCACTAGCACGAACGCCCTGCAAGCAGGCTCCCAGCAATGGGAAGCAGTAAAAACCTTCTTGGAAGTCCACAACGAAGGACAGCAGTGAGGCCTCTTGAATGGTTCGAGTGAATGCTTTTTGAAGGGAAAAAATCCTGACCTCTACAGCTTTATGAGGTACCAAGACACAAAAGAAGGCAGTCTCCAAAAGCACAGGACACCTAAGAGGAAACTCAGGGAAGAACTAGTCCCTCTCCACAAGGAAAGCACAACCTCCTGAAAAAAAAAAGCACTTCACACCCTCAGCACTTCTGTACAGAGCACTGAAAAAGGCCCTTTATCAACCAGCATGGAACAATACATCCATGTGCTATGTCACCAGGAATTCGGGGTAAGCTCCTCGCTGCCACAGTTGCCAGTGAACCTGTGCCAAGAGCTGTTTCTTGCAGCTCTTGCTTTGATCCACA